CTGAGCCACACCCCAGCCCCTCACTGGGGGATTCTAGGCAGGTGCTCTACCACTGAGCCATACCCCAGCCCCTCACTGGGGGATTCTAGGCAGGTGCTCTACTATTGAACTATATTCCTGGCTCCTTATTGCAGGGTGAGGGGGGCTCTAGGCAGGTGCTCTACTAGGAAGCTCCTTCCCCAGCTCTCTCTCTCATTTTGTTTTTCCAGACAGGGTTTCTCTGTGTAGCTTTGCGCCTGTCCTGGATCTCACTCTGTAGCCCAGGCTCGCCTTGAACTCACAGAGATCCGCCTGCCTCTGCCTCCCCAGTGCTAGAATTAAAGGTGTGCACCACCACTGCCTGGCCCCAGCTCTCTTCCTACTTTGTATTTTGAGACAAGATCTCACTAAATTGCTCAGGCTAGTCTTGAACTCGTTCTATGGTCCAGCTTGATCTACCACATTGCATCTCTTCACCCCAGGCTCCAGGGTAGCAGGAATGACAGGCAGGTGCCACCTGGCTCAGCTCTAAGTGTCTGTTACAGTAGGATTATAAGGACAGGTGAGTCGGGCTCTGTCCTCTACCCCCACCCCCACTTCCGCCGCAGGCTCAAGCTGAAAATCCGCTTAGCAAGAATGATGGCACCTAACCCACCTCCTGCTTCCCAGCCCCACTTGACTTACTGGAAGGAATCATATGGCTTGCACAGAGCCCTCCCTGCACCAGAGAGAGAGAGAGGGAGGGAGGGAGCGAGGGAGGGAGGGGGAGGGAGGGTGGGAGCGAGGGAGAGAGAGAGAGAAAGAGCGCAATCCTCCCCCCACCTCCCCTGGGCTGTCCCACATCAGTGGTTTATAAACAGGTTTTAGGAACAAGGACTCTCTCTCCCCTCTCCATAAAACCCTGTCACCCCATACATAAAACAGATTAAAGATGGAGCGATAAACACTGAATATTAACACAAGCAGAGGAGTGAGGATGTATACAGTATCCCAGGCTGAGGCCAGACAGCACTTTGCAAAGGAAAAGCGAGGGGTGGGGGGTGTTTCTGTTTAACTTGGTAGATTGAATGCACATGTTCCCCTAGAGGGGAACCAGAGGTAAAGAAAAAAAGAAAAAATCACAGCAGAGCGCAAAGGCCGAGGCTATCTCCGCAAATGCCTGCCGCCAGTAACATCTTGTGAGATGGAATGTGGTCAGGCATTCCGCTCATCCTCGCAAACCAATGGGAGGGAGCCAGGTCACAGCCGTTAGGGCCCAGCTGAGGTCCGAGCAGAGAGGGAAGGGTCCTCTCTGGGATGGGCCCAGCCAAGGAGCAAAGGGCCACGGACGCTGGAGTTGAGGGAGGCCACTGATGGAACACTGGGTCCTAGGAGACCTGCCTCATGCTGCAGGCGTGCGTGCGTGCGTGCGTGCGTGCGTGCGTGCGTGCGTGCGTGTGTGTGTGTGTGTGTGTGTGTGTGTGTGTACAAGTAAACCAGGGTCTGCAGCATGAGCAGGGGCCCTAGAGGATTCCTGACGCATCCTCCCTCTCTCAAAGCCAAGGATTCCTGGGCCATTTAACGGAAGTCCTTAGCAGGGTGGGTAAAAATCTAAAGGAGCCCAGAACCACCTGTCTGTCACTCCAGGCCCTGTCTTGTGCCACACGGTCCTGTTTATCCATTTTTCACTCATTTCCCATGCACCTTCATCCATCCCACACAGAAGTCCGTCCGTGCCGCCCCTGCATCCTCCACCATCACCTACTTACTCCCCACCCATACGCCATCTGTTCCCTCATCCCGCAAACCTTATCCCCTGCCCATCCCCCTCCTCATCTACCCCCCACTTATTCTTCATCATTATCCTCTACCCATCCCTTCCCCCCTCCACCCCCCATCCTCCTCCCATCCTCCACCCATTCCCCAACCCTCCAGCCACGCCCACACCCCCCTCCTTATCCCCACCATATCTTGCAACTCACGTCCATCCTAACCTCCCAATCATCTCCCTACCGGACCCCTTACAGATCCCGACCCCACCTTGAGTCTCTGCTGTATCCCTGAGGCCTTTTGTGGAGTTCATCAACTCCAATGGCTCTGAGCAGCAGGTCAGTGTGTATGTTCAGGGGCTCTTTGATTTCCAGCAGCCATGACCTCAGGGCAGTTGGGACAACTTTGGACCCTTGTTTTTGTTTTGTTTTGTTTTGTTTTGAGACAGGGTTTTATATAGCCCAGACTGGCCTTGAACTTGTACAGATAGCCAAGGATGACTTGACCTCCTAATCCTCCTGCCTCTACCTCCTAAGCGCTGGGACTGAAGGCATGCTCCACCACACCCTACTTGGCCATTGCCGCAAAAGTGATTTTCACCTTGAGCCTTGGCACCCCCTGTCCAGACTGGGAGGTCCCCACCCCACCCCAGGAGGCCGCCTCAAAGAACCAGAAGGCCACAGTGGACC